GAGAATCTAGGTTGGTGGCTGCCGTGCCCGTTCAGGTCCCTCTCAAGAGCTAATCCTTAGAATTAGAACTTGTCCAGAACCCGGTCGCAGGAACAGGCCCAGCACAGGCATCTTAATCGACGTAGCAGCCATCCTAGCGAAGTTCAGGAGGAGGAGCATTGCGCAGGTCTAGCGCCTTTTTACCTTCTCCACGGCCCCTGACTGTTGCTGCAGATGACCTGGATGAGCCGTTTCCCAAAACAGCGGACGTAAGATACTGCCCCATTAGTTGAACCGTTTCCTCCACTCTCTCCAACGCCCTCTGCCTGTTCTTTCTACCGAATCACACTTCAGTTGGGGTAGTAATAGTCTCACGAGAGGGTTATCAAGTCAATGCCGGGATTGGTCTGTGTCTTAGATAACGAACATGCAATGAATTCCTGAAACTTGGGATACATTCCTCAGTATCTTCGTTTGCGAAGAGGTAAACAATTGCCACAACCCCCTTAGGCTTAGGTGCATGAAAACATGGCAAGAGGGGCTTTCGGGGCATCTGAATCAATACATTGCAAACGGGCATGGAAGCCATACCGCATTTGCATTTTCGAGGCCTAGAAGACCGTCCTTGGAAGAAAGATAAGCCAACCACGTTCACTCTGATGGACCATGCGCTGCACGCAATTATTTGCAGGCCTCTTGAGGATCATGAGGAGACAGATCCACCTGATGGAGTGATGCCAAGTGGACCTGGCCTCTGTGCTGTAGACAGGAGGCTAAAATGACTGTATAAAATGATTTCAATGCAGCGGGCGGTTGCTATCTTTTAGATTTGCTGCGGCTGTCGCGCACCGGCAGTGCGCCGAATTGCATACCAAACGCACACCAGCAGTAGGTTTGATTGGATAAAGGGGATATGAACCTCTTGCCCTGGGGATTTCCCAGCAAGTCACTCACTGCTTGCCGTCGGTACGGCTCCCATCGATTGATATGCTGCGGAATCAGCACTAACTATGCTAAAAAGCCCATATAGGATCATGACTTTGCTTGTTCTTGTGATTGCTTTTGTGCCTAATTCATAACTTCAAAGTCTTCTGTACGGCTTCAAGGTTTTTGGGGAAGCGCTTCAGTCTCGATAGGAGACTCCATTCTCGTAAACACACTGGCCTCCATATCCTTGAATCCTAGCCTGCCCATTCTTTGAAGAATCATCATAGTCCTTTGATTTTCAACTGCTCCTTCATAACGGCCCTTTTAATGCGTGGCTCCTTGGCGGCCGTTTCGAGTATGTTGGTTACACCCTTGGCAGTCTGGGCAATGATGGACATGTCAGGACCGAATAGCATATTGGCAGCCACATCCGCAATTCTGTCTATGTCTTTGACTGCATCTTCGAGTATACCATCGGCATATATGTTAGGGATGCCGACAAGCGAAAATTGGGACCGAAGGAGCATATCAGGGCTTGGTGTTTTTAGACGAAGCGGACTGTGCCACAGACTCTGTAGCCGTGCTTCGGGATCTTCGCTATTTAAATGCAGTAAAATACAACTTAAGTGAACAACTATGTCTCTTATTCGATTGCTAAGTTAGATTCTCATTATTGTTGATGGTTCCTCTTAGACCTCGATGTTCAGTGTCCAGCCGATGTTACATGCTGATCTCTTCGTTACAGTGTTGGTTCAGGTAATGGCCTGGAAGATAGCATATAGAAATATATACACGTCGCAGTTTGCAAGAAGTTACTTGATAAGGGAACAAGATTGTCAGGAAATGCAATGCTGGTTAGCCTCTGCCTGCGTCACGAACATACCTAGCTATGTGTGCAGTCTCGTTTTCAAAAGCTCACGACAAGTTGGTTCGTCTCCTCAGCCGTAATCCTGTCCAGGAACATGCTCGCAACCAAAAAGCAGTATTATCATGCTAAAGGGTAAAGTAGGTTGTCCATCAGAACACATTCAATCAGCCCACGGAAGATAAGTACTACTAAGAACACTTATACGACACAGTAGTGGCGACTAAGTCTGACTAACAAACCCATGAATCACATGTATGAGATCTCCCTTCTGATCACTCAGTCATCTGAATTTATAACCTCTTCTAGATAGCGAGTCCACAATACCACGTCTTCATTGATTAGCATTGTAAATGTGAGACAAAGCTATCTGGGACACCGTGCTGTAGGCGGAGACTTTGGTCCTTTACCAGTAACAGACGTTGAGGTGGACCAACCGTTGAAAATCACCATCTTTGGATACCTTACCCGCATCCTATACCAAGAAAAGTCAATCTTGCACAGAGGGAAACCAAGGCGTTGGCTCCCTTGTTAGAACCCCTCACGGAGGCTCAGGCCTCAGCGGTGGTTTGGCCCCCATGTACTCCGTAGACAGAAAGCGGTCAGAGAACTGGAGAGATTAGGAACTAGGTAGTCAACGCCCGATCCTACTCCTCTTAGAGAACGGAATCAGCTGCAAATTCATCTAAACTTTTCATGGGCGGTAAAGATAACATGGAGCTTCAGGGAAAAAATACTACCAATTACGGAGCACCCACAGCAGTAGTTCATAAGAACCATGCGGATGTACATGATGAAATGCCAAAAATGCAACATGACCCCTTCTGCAAGCAAGGTTATGAATGCATGGGATCTGTCTTTTAATGCAGCGCTTGTTTCATATAACACCGACTCCCTGTAGCTGCTTTCCAGGCAGATCTTGAGGCCTCACAGCACGACCGTATCGCCTTAACCGAACAACCGTTTAGCCCAAGGAGGGAGCCACAACTGAAAGAACATTCGACAAGAATCCTTATGGCCTCAGCTCCGTCCTGCAGGCGGAATTAAAGCCTCACCGTTCTAGCCACGATGGTAAGAGGCAACCCATATCATTCTATTGGCTCGGCGGGTTTGAGCCTCTACCTAGCAGGGGCCCGCTAATTGCACCACCAGCCAGTGCACAATTTAAAAGGGGGTGGGCAGGCGGCTGCGATTTTCGTTGGATCGAGCTGCCCGCAGAAAACCGCCATGGTTCCTGATTGACGAAATGAATCTTCTGCAGCAATCCCAGCCGCGACGGATCTGCAAAAGCATTAGTGCCGGGGCGCCCTCGCAGCTCGTCTAGGAAGGTGCTCGATACCGCCGACTTGCTTCCAGAACCACCTCGTCGGCTGAACTTAGGTGGGGTGCGGCGAGCAGTGACCGCAGCGGCCAACGACACGGACAGTCAAAACCGGAATCTGCGCCATTACGGCGTGCCGAACATCACGTACCTGCTACCGTAATGCAGGAAAAGAAAAATCTGCCTACGTAGTGACATACGTACTTTGCAACGAGGAATGAAGGCGTCATAACCCCTGCACGGCCTGGCAATCTTGCAAAAACTGGGTTACAGTGTTTGTGCATACTGTCGAGTTATTAATCGCAGGTCCTAGTTATCCCTAGAGACTGTCCCTGTCCCTGTTCAGCTCACTTGATGCGCCGGAGCAGCAGCACTATCACATCACACACGAACAATCTACGAGTTGATAGCTTTCTCATGAAATTTAGGGCATCTGGCAAAGGTTCCATTGAATTCGCCCAGATGTGCGACTATCCCGTGACTCTAAAAAGTACTTTTTTTCTTTGCCATGGGTATGGTGTTTCCCAAAACGCCTAGCATGCCTGTCATGAAATGTTCATTCATTTTTTACTTTTCCCCACTACCCAACACGAGTGCAAGTGTCTAGTAGAAGAATCCAATGATCTTGCCAGCAACGTGCTTGCGACGGGCCTCCTCGTGGTCCATGATACCGGCGGAGGTGGTCAGGACGACGTAACCGAACTGACGGGCGGGGAGCAGCTTGACAACCCACTTCTCGAGGTCGGCGAGACGGACGTTGTAGCGGGGAGAGATGACACCGGTCTTGTTGAGACGGCCGTTGAGCTGGACAATGATCTTGCCGGAGCGGTGGTCGTCGACTTCCTCGAACTCGCCGATATATCCTATTGAAAGGAGAAGAATGAGCTGTTATGTTGCGAGAGACTAAACGTTAAACGTCATGGGTGTTTTTGTGAAAGCAAAAAATTCAGAGAAACGTGTAAGATCTCCGCAGAAATTCAATCTATCGGCAACTTATAGGGGCTGGGCCGTGGATGCGAATCGACCGTCGCCCTAGTTATCATGCCGAAGTAATAAACAGGATAAAGGAAAAGGGTAAAGGGGGACCCATGACGTTCAACGAAGATGTTTGTTCCAGGAGTGGACCTACCGTGGCGCTGCATGACCTGGAGGAACTTGATGATGACCTTGGAGGAAGGTCGGATCAGAACCTGGCGCTTGCCGGTCTTCTCGGCGTTGTTGATGTTGTTGAGGGCATCGTGGAGGACGGAAGTGCGAACCATTTTGGCGGTTGTGAAGAGGAGATTCTCAAATCAAGTGGGATATGAGGTGTCTGCCAGGAAGAATTCTACGTTAGCCTCTCGGGCCTGTGAGCGAGAAGAGTGCCCTCAGCGATCGGTCGAGGAGGGTTCTGCCGCCCAGTGCTGAAGAGGAGAAGCGTATCTCGAGCCATTGCCAGCCCAGGTGACTCGTGCATCCGACGATACACAACCATTGGAGTCTCTCACGCGAGACAACGCTCGAGATTGCTCTCCCTAGCCACGATGCAAGGCATTATCTTCCAGGTCCGAATCGCCGTGGACGATTCATATCACTTACCTCGAGGAAAAGGTGATGCGTTGTTGGGTTGTCAAGTGGTCAAGAGGAAATTCCAGGCGAGGTCGAAAAATCAGCTCGCAATTCCCACGCGCACCGAAAGGTGGGCCGCACGAAAAGTTGGTGTGCCCTGGTGGCCCGTGCACGACAAAATGCCCTAATGGGGGGCGCACTGCGCTCGCTTGCATTTTCGGCAAATCCCCGTGTCCCGGACCCGACATTGTTCTAGATCATCCACGAACTGCAACTTCACTCCCAACTTTCCTTTTCCATATCATATTAAAATTCTAGTTGACTCTTCGAGGATCGCCCGACGAGAAAAATTCAGCAACAATGGTGAGTATCCCGATGCTGCCGCCCCTCAATCGCGGCCGTTTGTGGTAGCCAGATGCTTGGCTCTGCGCATATCGCGAATTTGGCGAATTGAGGAAGCGGAACGTCATCCAGAGGGACTTTGCGACTGACAATGCTTTTTCTCGACAGTCGGACGTAGAAGACAACACCCCCGAGGTCGTCGAGGAGGTCGAGGTTTCCGGTGATGCCCCCAAGGGCCAGATGTCCGTCCTGGACGCCCTCAAGGGTGTTCTGAAGCTCGCCCTCATCCACGATGGTCTGGCCCGTGGTCTCCGCGAAGCCTCCAAGGCCCTCGACCGTCGTCAAGCCCACATGTGCGTCCTCAACGAGAACTGCGAGGAGGAGGCCTACAAGAAGCTCGTCATTGCTCTCTGCTCGGAGCATAAGATTCCTCTGATCAAGGTGCCCGATGGCAAGCAGCTCGGAGAGTGGGCTGGTCTCTGTACGTCCCTTTATCCTATGAATGGATCCTGTGAACGGGGTCCATCGAAGATTTACGGCACAGAACACCAACTAACACGGATAATCCAGGTGTCCTTGACCGTGAGGGTAACGCCCGTAAGGTTGTCAACTGCTCTTGCGTCGTTGTCAAGGACTGGGGTGAGGAGTCCCAGGAGCGCTCCATCCTCCTCAACTACTTCCAGACCGAGCAATAAGTGCGACATGGGTGACGGCGTTGATGCGGAGGGAGGATTAGAGGCGTGGTATTTGAATTTAGATACCACAGGAACCGAATCACTTGGTTGTGCTCTTAGATCACTTCAGTTGATAGGCCATCGGCACATGGACCGGAATACAAAAAAAAGTTTATCTTTCCAGATCGAACTGGATATCAATTCCACTTTTACTGGCATGACTCTACTTTCGTCCTTCCACCTGAAGCACAGTTGTAAACCCCGCCGGTATCTATAGATGAAACGACCGAAACTTACCATGATGATGTGATACCCAAATTCTGTTTTCACCTCGGCGAATTTCGGGCTACTCGTAGAACTGGGTTCTAGAGCAAAGGCAACCTCTTCAAACTTGGGATCCAGGCTCCCTTTCGTCTTCCAGCCCAATGAGCCTCCTGCCATCACAGTTAGCACCAGATCACGGCGTCAGCTACATCCAGCCTACCTTGTCTGGCCTTGTCCTCGGAGAAGGTCCTTGCGACCTCGTCAAACTTGACGCCTTCATTCAATTTCGCCAATGCCTCCTCCTTTCTCGCGTGCTTCTCACACTAGCCATCCACATGTTAGCAGATATGGAGGGGTTGGCATCCAATGCGATGAGACTCACCAGGATGTGTCGGACATTGATCGACTGTGCGCCCTTGGCTTTACCGCCGCCCTCATTACTGTCTCCGCCGCCTTTTCCTTTGCCGCCGCCTTTCTTGTCGTTTTTGCCCATTTTCGTGAGATTATGCCTAGGGTTTGTTGTGATGTTGTATGGAGATGAAAAGCTGCCCCGCCAGCGCCGAGGAGACGGATCAATGTCACACTCTGCCCCTCCCCCTCCTTCGTAGCTTCCCCATACATATGCCTTGTGAAAATGCTTCTTCATCGTTCATTCATCAAGAACAAACAATTTACTAAAATAGTATCCTCACTTGTGATTTCTATTCATAATTTAAAAGAAACGCAATGGTCTGATTCTCTTGCGAAGCCTTTCTAGGTGGTAGGTTCCTTAGACATGTCTAGTTTTACCAGTGTGCAGCACAAATGAAAATGTACTTCATCGCTCCCACTTGAGATCTGCAAGTTTATGGACGTCTCTCAGCTCCTCCAGGTCCTCTGACTCTAGGATGTTCTCGTCTCTCATCCTCTGGATGGCCTTCATCGACTCAAGCTGGACCATTTCCAGGAATTGCTCCTGCTCGGCTTTCTTCTGGGCCCTCTCCCGTATCCACTCCAGATACCTCTCGTCGTCCCATTTCTTCTTGAGGATGTCACTCTCAAGCTTCTCAAACAGATGCCAGTCATCCATATCCGACGGCTTGGGCGACAGACATATTTCATGCATTGGCTTTTGCGCTCCGACGCGCTCCAGTTCGATGCTTAGACGAAACACTCCCGTGAGCTGGTTGCGGCTCTGCCCGTACCGGCGAATGATGTACCTACAGAGCACGTGTCAGTCAAAGAGCAAATATCGCCATGATTGGGCTTGGAAGTCTCCAGGGAACATACTGTCCATCGTACCGCAAACCACCCCTTGGTGCAAAGGGGCTTTTAAGAAGGTGGCCACGGAGAACGCGGATCCTGGTGCCAACCTGCGATATAAGTCCCACACACATGTCCCTCAGCGTTCCCTCTCTCACATACTTTGTTGTCCCAGCAGGCCATTGTGCTATCTCGGTTCCTGTGAGCAAAGGCATGGTGGCAATGCCATATCTACCCTTTGACACGGAGTCGGAAGAGCCGCAGACAATTCCGTCTCGTTGGGCGCAGGCCAAGGTTAACCACCAACTGTGCCCCGATGATTAACAGTTGTTTCAAAATTTGTGTGTTCGTTTCATTTCCCCCTTCATTTCGGGGCGGCATGTGTCCTTGTATGAGACTTACTGTCCTTCCTTGATTTCAGTATTTCCTTCGACTTCAGAGAGTGCCTCTCCGCTCTTAGCAGCCCACTGGCATGCTTCTCCACGCTTTGCGTCGTCAAAAAAGACATTATCCAACCGTCCATTCTTCTGTGTCAGTCCACGATAGCGGGAATTGTCCAGTCCCAGATACCCATCCCGTAGCCTCATTCTCCAATGTCTCTGAAGGCTGTCGGCTATCGACAGGCAGGCCCGTAGATCCGGGCTCATGCGCTCGAGGTGACGGGTCCTGTCATGGATATCGGCAAGCAGTTTGTCCAAACGGGTGGCTCGGATGAGCTTGAGGTTAAGGATGGGCGCTTCATCGTATTCGCTCTTGATGACGGCGCCCAATAGCCGCATAAGAACATCGCCCCTCGGTCCGAGACAAGCATCTTCCTGAAGGCTAGTTCGGACTTCGTTGCAAAGGTCCAGCAGGGCATTTTGGTTGATCGTGTTGTTCGCGTTCAACGGGTCTACTGGCGCAGCAGCTTTCAAGGAGAGATGTCAGCATGTTGGTGGTACACAAAGGAGAACTCTCTCATTCTTGCCAAGTCAACTCACGTTTGCGTTCATTGTTTGGCTCAACTGTATCCGAATCCTCGCTCTGTTCGGGTTTCTTCCCTCTGGTCGGTGGATATATTTGCAAAGCCATGGGAAGCTCTCAGGTGCGTAGAAGCATGTGCTGGATACAAACTCTGGCCATGCCTAGGGGAATTCAAGCAAACGAGTGGCCCCAGAATGATATAAATGCGTTTGGCTACATAGTAGCACAGGTTGTCAAGCAAGAGACCGATCAAAATCGATCAAGCAGATACAAGATAGAGGAGGGGATGAGAGTTGCGACAGAAAAGCAGTGCCAGTCGTGAAACATCGGATGCTTGTTCGTTTGCGTACCACCTTGTGCTAGCAGGGGATAGGTAGTAATAGGTAGTATTTGTAGGTAAATGGTTCACAAAACAACGGCTAATGCAACCATCCGGTTGAGGTTTTATATTTGGAAGCTCTTCACTGGAAATCTTGTGGGCCTGGTTCTTTTACAACAGTGCAGGCGTGGAGAACTTGTACGGAAGTAGCTGGGCGAGCAAAGGAAGCAACTGCGCCTGGCTTCTCCTATACTTTCGGACAAATGGGCGCAGGCCTAAGTTATTTATTATTATTATTATTGGCGGAATCGCAAACAGATGGCTATTCCTTCAATAGCAAGTAGTCATCGACCACTTATAGTTAGGACTTGGATGGCATTATATCGTCTCTAATCTGAGGTATATAATCGTTTTATATGGGTGAGAGTTGGAGTACACAGTGAGAAAACCGCAATAGAAGAAACCAGGCCCGACATCTCAACACAATGAAATAGAATCGCTCAATAGTCTGTTAAGGTTCGTTCAAATTGTGCTCGGAGGGCATGCAGCAAGAATGGCTATCTTATACACAACAGTGTCTGTGCAGTTGTGCTACTGCCGTCAAAAAGTGCAGCAAATCATACAAGCTATCTTCTTTCAAGAAAGAGAGAAAATCTACTCCAGGGCCATATTTCAGAGAGTGCGGACAGTGAATGTATTCTAACTCTTGTGTAATTTATACATCTTTCTTCTTGGAGCGAAGTTATCAAATTATACAGCCATGCTCATGATCCCAGCGATATACAATATGTAATACATAACAATGTACAACGGCAACGCACCTCGCCCCCTGTGCTTCTACCCTTGTGCCGCCTCGTTCAGTCCACTCCTCAGCCAGTTAGGTACAAAGGCTTTTACCTTAACCCCGCTCTTATCGCCATCCTCGCCCCATTCAAGCTGGAACTCGTGGTCCGGCTGGAAGGACGCAGCGGCAACCTCACCAGGCAGGGTGATGTCGGTCATGATCTCCAGACGGCATAAGCCCAGGCCGATGTTCCCCACGCCCTTCAGCCACTTCCCTGCGCTCCGCCCGCGCTTCCCAATGCGTCCAATGCTGGTATCCCGGGGCACCAGGTCCGCCGTTGGCGTCGAGGCTCCGCTTCCACCACCGGCCTGCGGGATGTACTGCAGGCTCGTAGGAATAGGCTCGGACTTGCCGTATATCACACAAGGAAGAATGCGCTTCCGTACGACACCACGGTGCTTGGTGCGGATCGTGAGCTCCTGGCCAATGTAGCAGCCCTTGCGGAAATCGATCCCGTTCATGTAATCCATGTTGCTCTCCTGCGGCAGAGCCGTCTCTCGTAGAATCTCGTCCTGGCCCTCCGCCACGCCGTTCAGGTACCGCCGTATCGTATACGCATCCTCTGTCGTCTCGTCCAAGTCCACCTCGGGCTTGTGCTGCCCAGACTGCAGGATACGGTACCCAAAACTCGGAGCTCGGACGTCCTTGAGGAGAATATTGGGATTGACGCTCGTCGAGGCGAGCTGCAGGTCGGAATTGGAGATTTCGTCCCACGCCTGCCACACATTGACCTCGTCCGGCAAGACCTTGCGCACAGTCACCTTGGCCCGGAGCTTGTATCGCTTGATGAACCTCGCCAGCGAGTCGAGGTGATTGGCATCCACCTCCACCAAGAAGGCATTCTCCTCCTGGACACCCGCCAGTTGCTTTGTATTGGGGTATATATAAAGATCGTGCAGGACCCTCCCCGTAGCGGTTAAGAAACCGGCGTAGAACCCATCGGTCCTGGGAAGACCGTCCTTTTCCACCACATTGGCAGTGACGAGTCCCTGCAAGAACTTGGCGGCGTCCGGGCCGGCGATTGAAAGGAGCTGTCGCGATGCCAATGGCGCAATGCCTGCCCGCGGGGGTATCGTGGGTGCCGTCGAGCTCGAGAAGGATCTGATCTGGCGTCGGCAGTTGAGACAGGTTCGACTGGGCGGGGCACACCGAAGGGCGCGTGCTGCTGGGGCTGCGGCTCTCATGTTGAGCCCAGCTTCATTGACGCAAGAGGAGGCAAAATTAAGTTATCACGTGGTGAGATGGAGGGCCATACGAGGGGAGCTATGGGCTACACATTGACCGAAAAATCCGAGCCCCGGCCTTGCGATGATGATTACAATTGCAATCAATATGAGCGGGGGGATCTTCTCCACAACAGCTCCCCCATACTTTGCCTACTGTCCAGGGTAGGTAAGTTTACAAGATCATGGCGAATCATATCCAGGCAAGTGGCTGGAATAAAACATGGCACACTAAAGCTCTCTGTATGCAAGCTGGAGACCTCATTTTGTAATAAATAATATTCCAAATAATAATATTAAAACAATATACTATTGTATATTATTTAGCTTGATATTGTACTGATAACTGGGTTGATCGTTTGGGTATTGTGTTGAAATCTGAAGCTGTATGGAGGCTTTGGTGTGGCATGTTTTATTTCAGCCACTTGCCAGGTTGCCAGGGAAGTGGATAATGATGTACGATTCCAAGTTTCCTTCCTCAACCCCAAGATCTTATCTCTTCTCTTCATCGACGTATCATTAGCCCTGATCGAAAACTGTGCCTCATTGCTGGACAGACACCCTCCAAGTCGTTACTTCATCGATGATCTAGGTGGCGGTAACGATAAGTGTGCTTAATCATGACGGAAATGGACTTTCGCGCCCAACAGTCTCTCGCGCAAGAACTTCCAAAAATGGCTAATTGCCAATAGGCTACTCATCTCAAAGCATTCCCTCGCCCTTTAGAGTCCTATCGTATTGACACGTAGCTATGTAAGACATGCCGGTGAAGCGCCTCCTTACTTGGCTGCCTGGGGGCCAAAGCGGTGCTAGTCATCCATCAAGGCATCAATCATTTCGATCCGGACAGCCAGTCGGTGACATAAGGCAAAAGGGGCCGCATGGGGCCAGCCCCCCAATTACCAATGTCTCCGACCATTCCAAGACACCTGGAAGCGGACCGCAGATGAATGGATGTCCGGGTCAAGGCAGTTTCACAATGCCCCCGATTCGAGAGGCGTCCATGCGCCCTGCGAGCTGTCACCGCTCCAGGCAATCGTGCATCAATGGCAGGGCGCGCTGCAGCATGTACACGTCAAAGGCTTGGGGAAATTAGGTACCATTGGCACGTAGCTGCGGAGACCAATGAGATGTCACTGCCCAACTGCGTGAACCGGTCACTTCTATGCAACCGTCGCCGAGAGCTCCGATAAACTCACCCGTATCGATGCCATTGGAAGGGCCAACCATCTAATCAGCTAAAGCCGCGATCACACCCCAATCGAATCGAAACATCTCACCGCTTACACGGCGCCTGGCATAGACTAGACTCAATCGGCGGTCGATCATTTACCTACCTAACGCTTAGCAGCCTGAACAGGACTGGGACTCCAAGACCCCATCAGATCAGGGAGGCCTTGGTTATATGATACCACAATGGTGTTTGTGACAACGTCTATCGCGGACCAATCACGACCAGCTCCAGGCTCGGCCTGCCTGATGCGTCGCACGCAACTGTCTCGTCACATGGAAGCCCGAGACGCTGCGCAGCCGTACATACGCCCTACCTCGCAAGGTTCCCATCGGCTTCCTAAGCATGATTGTGCATCGGTGCTTGATAATCTGTGACTAGCAGACGGAAGGGGCCCGTAGCGAGTGGATATTCAGCTTGGGCGAATTTTTTTTTTTTTCATCGGGTTTGGATTTTTGTCACAGCGTTGGCCTTCTCACCAAAAAGATGACTTTTTTTTTTCTTTTCTCGGGCTTTTTTAGTCATCGGTAAGTCTGGCTCGCGTTATCGGGCGCGGGATTGTGTCAACCCCGAGTTCGGACTAGAGGCGGAGAGATCTCTTAAAGTCAGGTGGACAACTAATCAACGGAAGAAGCGGAGTCGGAGTTGATTGAATTCCCCTAGTGCCGCATTTGAAATCAGAAGCAGATATCGCAAATCAATTCAAGGTTGCAGTGGAAAGAGCTGTCATTTTTTGGGTCACGAGGGCGAAAATAATGGAACTTGCTTGTTATGATTTGAAATTGTATTTTCTTTTTTTTTTGTGGTTTAATCTAGTAGTCTAACTCTATTAGAGCATAATGTTCCTGTGTGTTGATACAGTGAGAAAGCCTTCCACTCAACCCTGAGGGAGCGGACTGCTCTGATCCTCCCAGTATGCCCAGGCCATTCCGTATATCAAATCCTGAGTAGTGTGGTCCTGTAATCCATAATGTATAATCCGTAAAAAGTAAAAATGTAGTGAGAAATGAAATGTGCTTTTTCTAAGCCAAGCCCGCTTAGTGGTATCCGAAAGTCTTCAAGTGCGCCGAGTGTAATGCCATCGCTGAAATGCAGAATCAATAATCATTATATAGTGAGGAGGTGGTCGTGTATGTTGTTGTTTAGTACACTGAAATGGCAGTCGAGTCCGACTGTTGTGACAGGTACAGGCCTCCTTGGAATAATGATCCGGATTCTGATTCTGTGGCCCTCTCGCCCTTGACTTCGCGCATGGGCATGTGAGGCTGGGGTGGTGATGGTGGCATCGACTCGTCGTCTGAGGAATCGGATTCGTCTACCAGCTCTGGGGGAGGGCTGGAGTGCGAGTGTGTGCGGACGAGCTCGAGCTGGGCGTAGTCCTCCTCGAGGTTGTCCTCGTTCATCTCCTCCTCGTCGACGTGGGGAATGTACTTGATGGCGGTGGTGGGCGCAGGCTTGCTGGCGACGGGTCGGAGGCTGGGAGTGTTGGTCATGACAATGTCCTCATCCTCATCGTAGTCGTCGTCAGAAGAGTCGGAGTCGTACTCCTCCTCGGGGATGCTCTCGGAAATGTGGACCTGCTGCTTCTGGGAGTTGCTGGAAGCAACGGACTGGTTGAACCACCGCTCCTGCTCACGCTCGGCATCGGCAAGCTCCATCATCAAGGTGTCGAGGAGGTTGGCATGTCCGACGAGCAGGCGGAGGTCGTGGTCGGGTTGGGCAGCCTCGCGAGAGAGCTTGGCCCGGGCCTTGTGGGCGAGGTAGTAGGTCTGAGTGATAGACATGTTCTTCTTGAGTGCTGCTTGTCGGAGAGAGTCCTGAGGAGTATGGAAGGAAACACTTCGTGTGGTTGTTGTTGCCATTGTGAAGAGGAAAAGGCAAGTTTAGAAAAGAGCCGAAGTCGTGTTAATAATAAAAATGGTGTGCTAGTTGGGTTTCTCCCTTTGGTGCTTTGAACCTCAATGAGTCAAGCGATGCCGGGGGCCCTAGGAGCGATTGTGACACTTGAGCGGTAGCCTATTGTGGGGCACTTGCTTAGGTAGGCAGAGAAGTTGATGCGAAAGGTTGCTAAGAGTCTTCGTAACAGGAGCTGGGGATGTTTGCTGTTATAGTGAGTAACAGTTGAAAGCTCTTGAAGGTGAAGATTGGAAGAATCTTCTGAATCTGATCTGGATGGTGCTACAAGATTGGGAATGGGGGAACTCGCTTTTTAATAACATGACACCGGCCTCTCGGACGGAGTTGAGCTGCGGAAGTAGACACGCCCCTAAAGTCCAGCACACCCCCTGCTCGGTCTGTCGTGGCTTTCAAATCATGGCCCGCCCGAAAGACTCATACCCTCATAGCTGACTGATACCGAAGGGCCGTGGCCCACTCACACACCCCAAGAAAACTAGTGTGCCGGCATCATCATGGGTCCGAAAGCGAATCCCAGGTGCTATCATAATCAAAGCGAACTTTAAGGCGTTATGTGTTATATCCGCCCGGCTCTAAGCCTAGGTTTCCCTCGCTGCACTTCCGTACTAGTCCATAGGCTTCCAAATACACATTCACATTCATCATCAATGCGGAGAGACATTCTTACACATCTAAACCCCGACCCAAACCGGCGGGGTTTGGGAAGCCCGCGGGCCCCTTGCATAACATTCCTCTGTAGGTAGGTGGTTTTAGAATCTGATAATTACAGCCAACACATGCACTCGCTGAATTGACCGACATCTTAATTCACCGCTTCACAACAATCAATACCTATGTAGACAATGGCAACAATGCTACCCCAGTCCTTCGCACACCTCTGGCAGCACTGTCATGATTTTTCTTTCTTTGTAACACCCAAGGTCCTCCATATTGCTAAAATTGGGCCGTTTCGCCTTAGATTTGTTCCCAACAATTGAGAGCGGAATCCGCGGGCAGTAAATTCGGGCATAACGTTACGGCTGACAGTGAGGTTGGGCCAATTTTAATGTTTAATGGCCCTCACCATGCTTTGCCTTACTGGGGGTGTTCCTGTTATGTTGCCAATTAAAATCACCAATTATGTGCATGCCCCTTGCTTTACCTCGAATGCGGAGAAATTGTGCGAGCATCCTATGCCATGGTTTCTTTGTCTGAATGTCTTTGTTGCTGCTGGGCTGGAACAGGCGCCTGCTGTTATTATTGGCCCATCCGTGCATGCCCCTTGGAACACGTCTGTTGATGCCACCGCCAGCGCCCAACCACTGAACACGCACAGCCCAAGTGAGGCTTGTTTGGGTACGTAGGCTGGTGCAAGGGGGGACATAGAACATTCGAGGAGTCGGGTGGTCTGGCGGCATCCACAGCTGATACAGACGCCTCACACATGTGGCTGTTTCCAATAATCGGCCTCCATTCCCAATTGATGGCCTCTGGCATACGTGTAATTCGAACCGCAGCCGTCAGGCAACACTTTACAAGTCCGCAATGAACGGAGACCGCACATGGGCATCAACCCGGCGTGCGGGCTGCGGGCGGCTGGCGGGTTCAGTAACCAACCCACACAAGTCAGGCACCAGGCCTCTCGCATCGTTTACAGTCCGATGGATGCGAGGCACCGCCGGAAGGGCAGCAAGGGGTGTATACGCGTCAGGGTGTGTCTTAATAAAAATGTGCCTGGAGTTTGGCTGGGCGCTGCACATGATTACGTTTTGATAGGGCTGGTGATCTCGAGTCTTAATCGGGTGGATGGGCTCTCTGATTGGAGGGACATCAAGTTGACTCATCCATCCTGCTTATATAAATCTCGCAATTGTAAGCGGCCTGAATAATCAACCAGCAAGGTTTGGCGCCGTCTAAACACATCTCGCTTTCGCGTTATCGGTGGCTCACATTCCTCGCCTATGTGCGATCACACCTTCTAGCATCGCCATGTCTCTCTTGCCGTCCCTGGCGTGGGCTCATGATAGAAGTCAGCACACCTCTTTTGTTCGTGTGAACAGATCTTGTGGTTAATCACCTAGGTGCTTAGGTAAATGTGGTTGATTGGCTCGATCCAGCGAAACAAAAATGGAGGGGTGGTGCTGGGGGTGATCCCGTGCCGTGGTTTGGGAACGGCTCTCCTAAATTCCGTTGAAGTCCGGTTTACAGCGGACAGAGCTCCTTCAGGCACATCCATCACCTAATACAGGGATGCATGATGCGCGGGCGATCTACATGGACGGATTTTGGGGACGCTGTTGCTGCTGCGACAGATTGATGCTATAAAAAGCAAATCCAGCATCTCAGGACCATGCAGTTGATGCATTCAATTAAGATTAGGTTTTCTATTCATGGCTGAGGATTCGTTTCTCCAGCGACTGATCGTGATGTCTGATCATGCTTAGTAGAAGCAGATTGATTGCTACAGCAATCAATCAGGATTGCGACTGTAACCGCATTTACTCGCCATTAGTCCCGGTGACTCTCGCGCAATTCGCGTCCCCGACGATTTGTGCCGAGTCGCTCCAGCAGCAGCGGGGACAAGCACCAGCAGGCTAGCGACAGCCGTAAATCCGAGAGTGACTCATCAATTATATCGACCTGGTGCGTCATTGGCCAAATTGGCGAGTAAGAAAGCGATTCCGTTGCGAGAGCGAAAAGTCTGACGTAGTGTGTCTAATAGGCTCAGAAGAAGTGCCCCTCGGTTTCCTGGCCGTACAAATCAACTACCAAGCGTATATGGCGATGCTTGTCAATACCTAATCCTGTAATAGAGGCGGCTATGCCAATAGACCGATTTCATATCTATCAATCATCCATACTCTATGTAAGGTAGGTAGCTAGTCTGAATTACCTATTCAACACACACCCACATGTATTTACATTCGTTTCTGTAAGCATCGCGATGTCAATTGCGCAGCAAGCCCTGAAGTTTCTTGGTGGTTTAGCTTTCATCTTATTTTTCCTTTTTCGCCGTAAATAAGATTTGGTCAGACAGTTTTTAAACACAATCAGCAATCTATACCCAAACCTTCCTCCAGGCCAGGAAAGCTAAAAATCATCACATTCAGCCTGGGCAACGCCTCAAAAACTCTAACAATAAGAGCCAGCTGGCCAGAGCTATATAACATGGCCATGGCCCCCAAGAAGGGAAGCCTATTACCACCAACCACAACCACCTACCTCTCTAAGCAACAACGACACAGAGGGTCGTCTCCTCCCGGATCATCTCGACACAGCACAGGACCTGCTGAAACTATAAACTATAGGTTGGGCTGTGATATGTGCGTATGAGCGGGTGGCCGTTATCAAGCTACGGCTTTTCGCCTCTAACCAACCCTTGTCCTCCACAGGTGCCTATGGGTTGTGCTTGGCGGCAGGCCGTATGTTGATGACTGGTACCCGCTCATACATGCGTATCACAACCCGGCATATAATTTATGATTTCAGCACGTATACTCCATGTGCTGTGTCGAGATGATCCAGGCGGAATTGTCATCTTGTATTTGATTTGCATTCTCGTGGAAGCATTGGTTCTTACAAAATCATGCAACCGCACGATACCACAATTTCGAGGATGTCGATGACTTTGAGTCGTATCATCGATTGTTCTATCGCATAGTTGCAAAAATCATCGTCTCCCTGAACCTTCCGATGATCTTACACGCCTAGCTCGCTACTACGACAAAAGGGCGGGAAGAGCGAGGCGATGTTTTTCTGAATGTAACGGAACCCGGCGGGTTTCACGGATACCCGTCGTAGCAAAATTTTGGCTGCTGACACCCCCCAATATCATGGAAGCGAACGTATGCAGTAATAACCGATCGACCGGCTCGTCTAATAAGCGAGCACGCTGCATCAGCACCCACGCACGCATCGTCGTCAACATGTGCTCGGATGTCGGCATAGCATGTAGGCTCCAGGGTCCCGAGTGTTTCCCTGCCGTCGTTATTTCCGAGCTTCTCGGGCGTCACCCATCAGACACATTATCTCCGTCGGTGCTGCATCTACGGGATATCGGGATATTAAGGACCCCTTTGCAAGACCATATACCAATCGATCTCAAGATATTCCAAACAGTATCACTCATCCTGCTCTCAGGGTCTAATTGAAGACTCTGGACTAGCTTGGGCCATCCGTTTGCGCTGGTGGATCATCAGGGGATTGGTGGTACCATGTGGATGGTGTGCATATCCTTCCATACGCCCTATGGAAGCCGAGTTGTCTCCGCTCAGGCACCGGATTTGAGAGGCAGCAGGCCCTCATTCCCGGCCGAGGGGAGTGTTGTACGCCTTCGTGCCCAGCAAGGACACCTCGGGATACAAATTGGGGAACAAGCTCTCCGAAGCGACCAGAGCCGGGCTTCCCGGTCCTGAAAAGGAGCGTTCTGCGTGTGATCTTCTTTCACGTACCCCTGCGTCCTGCCCCAGATTCAGACCTCATCGGAGCGTTAAACAGTCTCGAGGATCCCTTTGACTCGACACTAGTGGGTCGGCAGTTTGTTAGTTGCAGCTACACACGATCTCTTAGAGAAGAGCTAGTGCCTGAGTCGGCGCCGGTCGAGTGAAACCTCTCCGAGTACGGCCGCTATTGTGGTCATTTGACTTGCAAAGATTGTCACCGTATGGTCCCAAACCATGCCGGAAGGTCGGAGTAGATCCAGAGAAGCTATTATGTGACACATGCCAATCAGTAGGTGGTTTATTGATCTGCAACGTGCGCCGAGTACCACTCAATGCCCGAATCCGCGAGACCCGAGATGTCGTCAATGCCTGTCTAGCACTAAGTCAATTCCAAGCTTTTACGATATTTCACACAGTTGCCATGGTCTACCGAGATCCTAGCCACCTGCATGCAGTCCTATTTTTGGCTGCAGCCCAGTGTACCTAATGAGTAGCCGTGGGTGGTAAATGAAGTCGCTCCCAAGACCTCTAAGAGAAGAGTGGTTATGAACAGACTGTTTTCTACAAACAAATAAAGAAATTTAATAACATCAAACAAAGCAAATTGACCATATATGCGATATTATCTCTTCAGCATGTATTATTAGCACTTAATAATCTAACAATACCGGTCAAGGACTTGACAATAAGCAGCTTAATGTTTGGGTGTTTTAATTTCAAAGTTATCCACTTGCCAGGTACATCTACCTTATTATTCCAATTTTTAGTGCCCGTCACCTTGTTTCGTCATGACCATAGCAAGTTGAACCTCACCTCCTCCCCAGCTTGTGCCTACCCTATACACTTTTTTGCCCTCGGCTTCCAAGTGCTTTCTCCGCATTGAATGTCGAGCCCTCAACTAGCCGGCTGAAATAAGTAGTTGGGGTGCTAAAGAATCAATTTAGAAGTGTATGGGTGTCGAATTCCCTCCCGGGTGTTAGGGGTTCAATTATCCGTGGCAGGGCGTAAAAAGATATCCGACGGTGTTTTGACTTAAGTAGCGGGTCCGAACGTTTGCACATTAAACACCAGAATGCCCATGATGTTGTATAAAAGCATAACAAAAAATTAAACCATACACAGTTTCAGAGACGAATCTCCTTCCAGACAATCTTCCACCGACTGAGGTTTATCTCTTAATAACTATAGCTAACTTGAACACTCAAGATGGCACCAATCGAGTTAGCAGCTGTCATTACACCCAAGCCTGGCCAGGCCGAAAAGGTGAGTTGCTTAACGAAACCGTCATAATAGCCACCGATGAACCGACAACTAAATAGCGACTGATTAGTTTCTTGCATTATTCGACAAATGTGTTCAATATGTACAGGCCAATGAGCCGTATGTGCTTCGGTATGAATTGCACAAGGGAATTAAGGAGCTGAACGGAAACGAACAATTTGTGGTTCTCGAGAAGTACGTCGGAACTAATATGCTTTTGTCTACTACCTCACGTCTAACAACGGTGCGTATACAGGTATGAAAGCAAAGAAGCGATGGACAAGCACATGCAGGCGCCGCCAATCCAGGAAATGGTTAACATCCTCGGAGAAGGCAATTTAGCCGATACACAAGTTATTATGACAACGAAAGGACCTGGGATTGCTTCCCGACTGTAGAACAAAAAGCTACAATTTAGACACGAGTCTATTGGGCTGTGAGTACGATGGTAGAGGTTGAAGAGATGCCAGAAACTGCAGCCGTTTGGGCCTCTCTTCATCTGGGATATGTGTCGATGAGTGTCTTTTCGGCTCATCCTGTGTATAGAACGATCTACCACAGACAGGGCTTATATGCTTATGCCAAGTGGGTGTTAGAACAACAGGAACTGCAAAGGTATCTTAACCGGACTTTCCCTAATACAGGCCACGACATTGATAGACACCAGGTAGTTAACAATCAGAATAATAAATTATTGAGCAATTATTAGGGAATATTATCTGCTCACCATTGAAAAATAGCTCATAATAATATAACTGACAGCCGAAACAACTCTGTCGAGGTGACTTTGTAGCCGCTGTTTTCTGACAGCCATTTACAGACATAGTTACGTAGCCCCTTTCACCACCAAAGAGGTATAACAGCAAATGATTTTTTTAGCATATCTTATTTATCGAAATATTTGCTACATATCTCATAAGAGAGCCCGTACTAATACCTGGCATCAGTGGTATCTTGGGCTACACCTAAAAGTTCACTGGCAATCAGTTCCTGTGATGCATTCCTTTTCTCCCAAACTACCGTAGCCACTCTGCCCTCCTTAACAAGGTTGGCGTTGACGCTCTTCAACATGTCAGCCTGGAGGAATTTTCCTTTGTTATCATCCCCCCAGGTGATAGCAGCCTTCCCCTTCCCCTCCCCCTCCCCTCCTCGCCCTCGCCTTTACCTTTGGCACCAACCAGTGGTTCCACGACGTCAATGTCTCCGAAAATAACGATACCGCTCTTGTGACGGGACAGCAATACGTTCAGTCGGTGTTTATTTGTCGTGAAGCCAGGTCCTTTGCCTGCCGTGGTACACATCACCGCGACGATGATGCTGTTTTCACGACCCTTGTATGAGTCGACGGCCGCAGTCGGTGCCATTGCCGCAAGGGGGAGATACTCGGGCTTCTTCTTGCGCAGACGCTCGATCAGCACGCTCGTTGCTTTGTATGGGCTGATCAAGCCGATCTGGGAAGGGTCGGTCTTGGTTTCATTGACGAAACTGACCAAAAAGTTCAGGGCGATCTCCGCCTGGCCATAGTTGATTTTATATGAGCTCCTCCGAGCCTTGTAGCACACCGTGCCCTGGCAGTGGACGAAGATGGGGGCCAGCTGGCCAGCCGGGGACGGGAACGGGAACGGGAACGGGAAAGGGGCGGGGACAGCTCTGGGAACCTCTGGCGGACAAAGTTCTCCAATGTGACACCGATCGCATGGTGTGGTACTCGAATGGGATGTCAGAGTACATTTCACGGTGGCAGATGTCGAACAGGCCTTTTGCTATTTGGAACTGACTGAATATATGGTAAACTGGCCAGCCTGTCGACTTGAAGAATGCCAGACGAGATACGGAGTGATCGCCAGCATGTCTCAGCTTGCCCGTCTTTGGGTCTTTTTGTTGTTGTGTCATGACAGCCGGCTCAAGCTGCTTCTCATCCCCAATGAGAAGGCAGGGCAGCAGGGTATTGCCCCAGACGCAGTCCAGATCGGGCTTGGTCGTGCATGTTGGCGGCCTCGTCCACAGCGATAGCCCGGGCTGTGTTCTTCTTCCACTCCTTGTAAATGGACACTCTCTCGGACTGGGCAGGAGTGGTGCAAACGACGTCGGCCGATGATGGTCTCCAGCATCTTCTGGATCTGCTTGGGCTCATCAGTCATGTTGCCCTCGAACTCCTTCCGTTCGATGTTCCCGGTGGCCAGCTCCTGAAGCTTCTGGGTGCTCTAAAGGGTCTTCGCATCTTCGGGCTCGAGGGCGCGGACAGTAGGCGAGCCAGTATGATGCGGAGAGGTAGAACTTCCATTTTGAGTGTGGCTTCCAGTGCCTCTTGGGAGCGGCCTTGTCACCATCGTCGGGGCTTTGAAGAAGCCTTCAGAAGGCTTGGGCTTCTTCATGTAGGGCGTAGCCTCGGACGATCATCCGGCGACGCCTCAAATCCCCAGACTTGCCCTTGTTGCACCTCTCTACAGCCTTTCGATCAATTACATTTCACGGTGGCAGATGTCGAACAGGCCTTTTGCCATGCGGAACTGGGTGAGCATGCGGTAAACTGGCCAGTCTGTCGACTTGAAGAACGCCAGAAGAGACCCGGAGCCATCGGTAGGATTTCTGTTGTACAGCTTGCCCGTCTTTGGGTCTTTCTGTTGCTGTGTCATGATACTTTGACGTATCGACGAAAACCTACTAAGTGGCTGAACTGCAACACTGAAGCCCTTTTTATGTAAGGTATTTTTCTTGTTAACAATATTGAATATAATAATAAGAAAGTTATGAATTATTCTATAATATTTGTTTTAATATTGTGTTTATTATTAGACTAATTGTCTTGATATTGTGTCAAAATTCAATACTGGGGTTCCAGCTGTGTTATCTTTTAAACCAGTCGCTTGCCTACCTGACTTGGAGAACAAGCAAAATACATGGGGAGCTGCTATTGTAATTGTAGGGAAGATCATCTACAGCTCGGTCGTTGGCTTGGGTTTGTTGAGGCTGCCCTCGTTTTCGAGGACCTTGGCAAAAAAATTGCGCATATATGCTTGGGCCTCTTATCATCTGGGAGGTGTATCAACAGGCGCCGCTTTAGCTTTTCTTGTTCCTGGAACCGTTTACTACATGTCCCACAAGAGAATCTGCCCTAATACTCAGCATCAATAGCATCCTGGGCTTCACCCATAGGTTCATCTATGAGCCCTGGTCACCATGGGTGGCACAGTGATGATAGATAAGTGCCCCAGTGCTGCAGACAGAAGTTCTATATTCTCAATAGTCGAACTTTGGAGGGAGGACTTCTTGAACTTTATCACCACCGGGCACCCAGAGTTCAATGGGTAGCATGTCCATCTCGAACTCGGGCTCAGGGGCTTGTGGCTCGACCGCATTTGCCAGACTAAACGACCATATCTCATTGCCCATCTTGGGATCGACCTTGTAATATAGATACTGCATTGGAATCATCATGAAGGCGTTGATGATATCTTGAAGATTATCATTATGATAATTCCACTTGGCCTTGTTTTCGAATTGAGTTTCGAAAAAGATTGTACAGTGTCTCAGGTCGAGATGACGTAAAGGGTCGAATAACTCGTTGGGGCCGTTGGTAAAGCCGTAGAACATTGCCATGCCATGTACCTGGTGACCCATTGAGGCATGGAGGGGATATTGTGCGAATGGGACCCTTGGGAAACCAGCAGGGCTAAGGAGTCGGAAGGCAATCTCATCCTGGCTTGCAAGGGCGCCACTTGATCTTGAGCTGCTTGAGCTGATCGCTCACAATGGCACATAGTCCGAACATGACTTTTAGCCCATCCAAATTCTCACCCAATCCAGTCATTTTAGTAGCGAGATTGCAAGTTGCCGTTGTGATATCCACCATATTAATGGCGATACTGTATATCATGTTTCACTTCCATTTGAGGGCAATGGCTTGTGACTGGGATAGAAAATGAAACGGATAGAAAACGCGATTTCCTCAATGTCTCTCTGGTGTAGCCGACATGGCACATAGGTGTGCTGGGCAATTGTTGATGATGAGAAAGTCTTTTCGTTCGACTCCTTGAACACTTCCGCCGCTGTAGCTGCTTTCTCGAACAGATGATAATGCTTGCACAGGATTGTAAGTCAAATTGTAGAGCTGGTTACCGTCCATGCCTATCCCTATACAGATAGTACACGAGGGGCGAAACGACGCTTAGGCCTTTGCTATTTTTGTGCACCTTGAAAACATTGTGGGCGGATGTTCTGGCCACGTCTCCGAGGATCATGTTCGAAAATTCATTCGTGATTGGACGCAACTCGGTGGTGCTTAGAAATCGAATTCTGACCACGAGAGCCCACCCTGCTTTTTTGCAACACATATCAATTGTCCGTATATATCTAGCCAATTGAGTTATTGTCCACTGGCCCGGCCCGGGGCTGGAAGAGCTGGTCTGGTGTCTTTCCTCTTAGCTTCTGGTCGATTGTTGGCGAACATGACCTAGTGCGCAAAGCTTCCAGGTATCCTCTCCTTTCTTCCGTTGTCTACGACTTGTACTTCTCCATAGTACTGACATGGGTCTGTTAGAGTTGGAAAATAACTGTCATTATTATAACATTTGTGAGAGCAAGATATAGCTATGCCCATATTGCCATCAGGGTAGCAATACCCATCGTTGTATTACTTACTCGAGAAGCTGCGCCCATTAAGGGCAATACGATAACAGATCACATGAATTTGCCCCTATTAATCGAGTCCATGCAGGTGATGACGTTGGGACAAGCATGGTACATCGGATGGCGTCCAAGATTGCGAAGCTCTTTTCGACATTGTAGTCCCTGACGTAAGTGATGGTAAACCAGGAGGTCTACAAGGTCACCGAGTACCAACAATGGAGGGGCCGGAAGCGCCTCAGTGAACTCGTCAGGGAAGTTGAGGCAATCGCGATTAGAACGTCTGCACCAATGATCCAGCCCCAAGGGGTCATTGAACTCGACGACAGCGAGATACACGATGAGATCAAGATCGAAGACTTGGAGGAAGTTCTACGAAGCCACCTTCCATCCAGGGAGCTGGCTGGTGTTCAAGCCGGATTGGACATGCGACACAACGCCATCCAACCCAATTGGATAGACATTAGGTACCGATGCCTTATTCAGAGCGCGTAGGTCTACAACCACGCGACCTTTCTTTTTCCTATTGACCAGTCGCTAGATGACGAATACTGGACTGGCGAATCTTGATGGTTGAAGTATCTAGTCTATTTTTCCAGCTTCGTACAGCTTATCGTATACTTTATTAAGGACCTTCCGGTCAGCTAATCCAATTTGGTAAGGTCTGGTCGATAGCTTGAGGTTTTACCAACCGTCCACGAGGTTAATCCTTATTTCATCTTCCTCACACATTAGGATAATCCCGCGATCTCTCTATACATCAAATGACTTGACAATCTGTCTTATCTTCTTAGCTTTGGATGAGTCAATCGAATATATATGAACACTATTGTCCAATTTAATCTCGGGTACATCAGGTGGTCTAGTAGGAGATCATTGCTTCCACGCTCTCTGCATTGGTTCTTTTGGTGGGGTTCCATCAGGATTGATAAATCCCTCGCTTCTTAGAGAGCTTCGAGATGCGCGCAGACTGTCTCTGATTGCGCTTAGCCAAAGGGCTGTGACTTTCTGGCTCTGGGACGGGGCGTCTCTTTGATGGAACCACGCTGTCGGCTAGCCTGAAGAACCATTGAAGTCATACTTGAGGCCTCTGTGACATCTTGCGGCAGGCTGGAGATGCTCCTATTAGCCGAAAAGTTAGTTCTAGATCTGTCAATGGAGTTACGTGCAGGACTTGTCTTACGTGAATCTGATGGCGCGATAAGAAGCATGCTTGTGACTTTGATGGATGCGGCATGGCGTTCACGTATCGTTGACCTCGAACGACATCGAGTAGTCCATGGGCCCAGGGAAAAGACTATCCGATGTGATGATGGGGGATAGTGTTGTATTCCAAGGATGGACAAGATGAGCATAAGAGTTGAGTCTTAACTATCCCTTGGGCGGTGTTGAGACTCGTGGGTCCAGAGGTGGAACTGACAAGTAGGATAACTTAGCAATGGAATAATACCTGTAGTATAGTTGTGTTCTATGAGATTGAAATGCCCCTTACCTTTAATCGCCTGTTCAATCACAATTTTTATAAAATTAAAAGAAAAAAACACACAATTGATATACTCTAACATACAACGTTGAATTCTATTTAACTAAGCGAACTCTTTTTGGTCGTCTTACCCACTGAAACTAGGCAGAGCAGCGCCAGAGCTAGAAATTCTTTGACCCATTTTTCTTTCTTGGACATCGCAAACTTCAACACGTTGAAGAAGCAAGCGCAAGACCCAATCCATTCAATTGAAACCTGACCAAAGGCTAGATAGATATCGAATCCAGATCATGGGCGACCGCGCCAGCGCCTCGCGGATGCGCGCTCTGGGCATCACCCAATCGACCACACCTCTTGCGTCTGCGTGGACTGGCGACCTTCGCGTTCGGTAAGTCCCTGTCCCATCGATGCAGCGCAATTCGCGATCTGACAAAATTTAGGTTCACCGATTTTCAAGTGAATGAGATTTCTGAAGATGGATCTGTGGTTCATCTGAGCAAGATTGGGTTGGGCGAGGAGACGTCGGTATGTGAGATTTTGCCATTGGCAACAACCTGAATCCGGTTTCACACATGGCAGCTGACAGACAATTCACATGGACTCAGTCAAACCAGACTGCTGCAAACCCACCTGTGAAGGAGGAGGTAAAGGAGGAATCCAAGGCGCAGGAAGAAAAGCCAGCACAGGACTCGGAAAAGCCCAAGGCAGAGACCGTCCCAGAGGTATCCGCAGAAGATGTCGCGATTCTTTCCTCCCTCGCAGGCGAGCAATTCGCCAAAGACGTTGTGGAAATGTTCCAAAACGCCAACGACGAGGCCTTCCAGAAGAAGACGGCCACGGCCTCCCCCACGGACGACCGCTCAAAGCGCGGCCAGATCCACCAGGAGGTCCGCCGCATCTTCAACTCCAGGATAGACACCAACACCGACGCCTCGGGCGCCATCGTCGCCAGCATCCCCAAGAGGGGCGCGAAGAGGCGTGCCGGAGGCGGGCGCAACAACAGTGCCAGAAACGGCCCGCGCGAGGAGAAGCCCTCGGGCGACTACCTCCACTTCACGCTCTACAAGGAGAACAGGGACACGCTGGACGCGGTCAACCAGATCTCGCGCATGCTGCGGGTGAAGCCGCAGGCCATTGGGTACGCTGGCACGAAAGACCGGAGGGCCTCGACCGCGCAGAGGTGCTCCGTCCGGCACATGCGCCAGAGGGCGCTGGCGGGTATCAACGGGAAGCTGCGCGGCGTGGAGACGGGTGACTACGAGTACAAGCAGCGCCCGATCCATCTCGGCGAGCTCCGGGGCAACGAGTTTGCCATCACGATCAAGAACTGCACCATGGCGGGTGAGGCGCCGGGCACGCCCATCGCCGAGAGGCTGGAGAACATGAGGGGGAATATCGGGCCGGCGATGGACCACTTGATCAAGCACGGCTGGATCAACTACTTTGGTCATCAGAGATTCGGCACTCACGAGATCGGCACCCATGAAATTGGCAAGCTGATCTTGGGAGAAAAGTACCAGGAAGCCGTCGACTCACTGCTTTCCTACGACCCAGAGATCGCCGACAAGGCGGAGAAGGGCGAGCTCCCCGAGGAGGCATCCAAGAGAGACGAATACCTACGTCACCAGGCCTGCATGCTCTTCAGGACTGGAAAAGACTACGATCGCGCGGAGAAAATCATTCCCAGGAGGTTCGGCGCCGAGACTAGTGTCCTCCGTCACCTCAACAGATCCGGCATCCAGTCTCGGAAAGACGTGGTCGGCGCACTCATTCACATCACCCGAGGTCTGAGGACCATGTATCTCCACGCCTACCAATCCCATGTCTGGAACCACGTTGCAAGCAGACGGTGGGAGCTGTACGGCGAGAAGGTAGTCAAAGGCGACCTGGTCATCGCCGAAGCAGAGCAGAAGCCTCTGATAAGCGGCCAGGACGACGACGGCGACGACATCGTCAATGTAATTGACGATGAAGACGGCGACAACACACGAGCTCGCGCGCTCACGGAGGAGGAAGCAGCCAGCGGACGATACACGATCAAGGATATCGTCCTGCCCTCGCCGGGCTACGAGGTCATCTACCCGGACAACGAGATTGGTGCCTTTTACGCCGAGTTCATGGGCAAGGAGGAGAACGGCAAGCTCGACCCGCACCAGATGCGCCGCATGCGCCGCGAGTGGAGTCTCCCAGGACGGTACCGCAAGCTGATGAACGGGTTCCTCGCGCAGCCATCCTTTGAGGTCAAGGCGTACGCAGACGACATGGAGCAGATGAACCCCACTGACCTTGATCTCCTCCGATCGAAGAAAGCGCCCAATGAGAATGGGAAGCGCCATCGCGATGACCAAGATGACGGGCCGGCTTCCAAGAAGCAGAAGGATGCTTCGGAGAATGGAGCAGAAGCCGGCGCCGAGGATATCACCATGGAAGACCCAAGTGAGGAGAAGCCTGCGGTCCAAGAGCAGGCGCAAGATAAAATTGCCGTTGTCGTCAAGTTTCAACTGGGAAGCAGTGCCTACGCTACAGTCACCCTGAGAGAACTGATGGGGGATCCTCCTGAGGAGACGAATTGAGTCTTGAACAGTGGCAAGTGTTAAGAGAAAATTTCATAGAGCCAGCGACAACTAGGTAGTCTCCAAGTAGTCTAAAGCTAAACACCTATTTATACAAACAGCTATATTCGAATAGATTCTTCTCGATCCCTTTCTGCTTCTTTCATATTCTTTTATTTGGTTTATGAGAAAGATAAATCGTCACTCAAGCTAGTGGGGATATTGGAAAATAAGATTTCAATGAATGAAGCCGTACCAATTACTCCATGATGATGATAATATATGTAAATGTTAAAATAATGATTCCGTAGTCCATTTCTCATCCTTCAAGATAGTCATCTTGATATGCGGGTTGCCGGGGTCTAAAATCCAGGTGTAGTCGGGGTGAATCTCTTAATAGGCACGTCTTTGTTGCCTTCATCCCAATTGGACGTATCGGTAGTGATTTTGTGTGTGATAGGATAGGTAGGTAGGTAAGAGTGTGTGAGAGTGGTATCCAAATCAGGATTGAGCAGCACTGACTGCCTTCTCATCCCAGCCCCAGACGAAGGAAAGGTATTTGACCATATTTACACGCTTGGATTTCATTTCTACCATCCAAGGGTGGTCCATCATCTTCCAAGGGCTGGCTCGGCGGCTTGTATTCTTTTCTAGGCTAGGGTTTGTGTTAGTTTATTGTCTTGGAGTATGGCACGGGGAATCTTGCTACATACCAGCACTGGATGAAATATTTGAAGTTGTCACTCCAGTAGACGTCCATTTCGGGCTCATCCTTTAGTTGGGGAACTGGCTGGCGCACGATGTATGTGAGCAGGTCGATGACACCAGCCTTGGGCTGAGCATCAGTGCCATCAGCGGGGAAAGGGAACCGATGTTGAGCAACCTCAAGGAGGGTCACACCAGTGGACCAGACATCAGAAGTAATGGTATATGATTGTCCGGTGATTCGCTCGGGGGCCATGTAGGCATTGGTTCCAATAAAGGTATTGGCCTCGCCTTTGGTACCGAAGTCGCCAGACACGCCAAAGTCGCAGAGCTTGACGGCTCCGTTGCGGCACAGTAGAATGTTTGAAGGCTTGATGTCACGGTGAATGATGCGCCTCTTGGCAAGATAGGTGAGACCGGCCATGACGCCCTCGGCAATCTTACCAAGGACCTTCTCACCCGTCCTACCACCGAGTCGCTTGACCTCTTTGTAGATGCTGTCGAGAGAACCACCTTCGCAGAATTCCATGGCAATGGAAATGGTGGCAGTCGAAGGATCGCCAAAGACGCCGTAGTACCGGCAAATATGATCGGATGCACAGCCCTTGTTGAAACCAATTTCTCGGACAATCTGCTTCTTAGCGTCTGGATCCGGGTTCGTGGTAATAATCTGGATCGAGTTAGATATGTAAGTTCAAGCACCGGAGAAATAAAGGCTCACTTTGAGTGCAAAGAGGGTCTTCCCGCCCTTGAGCCGAGCTTTGGTGACGGCACCTCCTGCGCCCTCACCCAGGTTACCAATCTCCTCGATTCTCTTCTCGAGGCCAGCGATGCGCCAACCCTCATCATCCAAATCTTCAACATCTCCAGTCCTGGCCTTCTCGAGGCTCAATTTGTCGAATGCTTCCAGACCCTGAAGGCTGCCGTCTCGTTCCATGGGCACACCACCTTCGCTTATCTCCGATTCGGCGGCGGAAACAGGATCCGGTGTGCCATGTGCCTTTGCAGGCACGATTCCCCACTGAGAGGCAAAGGAAAGAGCTGAAATCCCTGAGCCGGCAGATGTTGGGTTGCTGAGTCCAGCATCAGTAGCCCCGAAGCTCCCTGTCCTGGAGTGATCAGCACTGCTTTCACTCCCACCAGCCGAGATTCCAGGCTGCACCCCGCCAAAGGCTCTTGGAGGTTGTTCCTGAGGTACCTTCGAACCCCCACTAGGGGTTGCGAGGGAAAGCTTTGGTAAACCTCTTGAGCCAAGGCCAGGGTTGTTTCCAACTGCCTTGGCATTTGGAGACGGGGGAATGGCCAACCCTAGTCTTGGCGGACGACCCCCGCCGGGGCGACCGACGGCAGGACGAAGCATTGGAGGTGCAGCAGATAGCATGGGAATGGCGCCTCCAGATGAAGGGGCATTCTGCTGTGGTACGTGTTAGAACAAAGAGCTTTGTTGGCGTTTGGGAAAGTGTACGAGGGGACACATACCTGAGGTATTTGTGAGTCTGCCATTTTTTCGTTTGTGCAAAATGATTATGTGAGACGTAATGAATATATCCTTGCGATCGAACGGATGGAGGCGCGATAATGCAAAACAGGCTGATCCAGGATACGACAAAAACAGTGACAGTCGAGCGTTTTCCAAAAAGAGGGGTATGAAAAAAACAATGAGCAAGTGAATGTTTAGACGAATGCCGTACGGCTATGGACAAATGAGATGGCGGATATTTGCTGGTCTGCAAGTGGTTGGAGCACCCATCGGTGGGTGTCGTGTGCTCGAATCGATCAAAGGCTGCCTTCCGCAGGCGTCACGCTCTTCCTACGATAGCCGGGCCGCCTGACAAGGGAAGGAGTAGGTAGAAAGCGACGGAAGGTAGTCGAGGATCGACTTGTGCTGTCCGAAGCTGAGGAGCTTTGGTGAGGCAAGCTGTAGTCGGGACTTAGGCCGAGAGAGGAGGAGGCGCAGGTGAGGAGTAGCGAGTGGACGGTATTGTCGAGTAGAGCGAACGAGGTTCGAGTATTAGGAGAGTTGCTAGGTTCTAAGGAATAAAGAGGAACAAGACCCGGATAAGAACAATACACAGGTGTGATGCGACCTGCAGACGGAAATGGGTGAGCTTTTGTATGGTTGGGGTCAGGTCATTACAGAGAGGAGAGGGAAACGGCGCAGTATGGTCTAGATACTTGAGATCTGCAGGACCCAGTGCGAGGAGTAGACCCGGAAAAACACAGGGACATTGACGCACCTAGGTTGTGATGGCCCAACACCAGCAAAGTGTTGCAGCAAACAGGACGCTGACGAGAGCTTCCGAGGGGATGAGTGGTGTGGTAAGTTGGTGGATGCTGCCGCCTTTGTGGGGAGGAGGAGGTAGGTAAGTTGTAGGTAGACTTGGAGGGGTCCTCTTGACCAGAGGTGGAGCTCCCGACCTTAGAGGTGGAGGACTACCTTACATTAGAGCGGCGGGAAAAGTCCTACCAGCGGTTGGACTGGGGCCAATTGCACCGTACTTACAGGTACTTACCTCCATACATACAAAGGCCATCCACCAGCATCCTGGCCGTTATAACGACCAAACCTGGACGTGCCTGTTGCAGTAGGTATAAACCTTACTATTACCCCGACCGCTAGGAAACGCCGGCAGGCAGGGCAGCATCTGGTGCTGCTGACTCACAGATGGCTGTGTACTAAAGCGCCCCTCCGGTTTCCTCAACCAAGAATCGTCTTTCTGGTATGGGCAGGCAGGCGTGGAGTGTTGGGCACAAGAGCCCCTCTCTGTTTCACGCTGGCGCTCAATTTTTCTCTTGTTTTCTTTTTCCTCTTGATGCTAGTATCCTGACCTGACCACCCATGTGGGCCTCTGGGGAGGCTCAAACCCGATCATTGTAGGCGCGCCAAATACCTGGCCGCATATTACTTGCGTGGTACCAGCGGCATGTGCAGACTCTGCTCACTGTAAGCGCCTAGACCCTCCTTCCGGGGGCAGCCCCTTGTGCCATGCCGATGTGCCCAATCACGTCCCGCCCCTGCCATGTTGGTTGTGCGCTCTGTGTTGTCTTCGCATCCTGTGCCGTTCATAGCAGCGAACCATCGCACCCTGCTTGCTCTGGCGCCCAGATGCAAATGAAGGGGCCGAGGTGGCTTGTTTCGGCCTCCTCAGACCACTACAATGCGAGTCGGTCGTTGTTTTGATCTCCAGATTCCAAGGAAGATGTCTGTGGCTAATGTCGGTTTTAACATCGTGTTGAGAGACACGACACAGCATCCAGCCCGATTGAAGCCTTCCCAGCGTCATGCCCGCTGAAACATGGACTCTTATGCCGCCGCCCCGAGGACAAAGGATAATAGCGGCAACAAAACATTATTACATCACTGTGCGAAGCTCACTCGCCGGCAACCCATCTGATGAATCCTAGTCATATTCTTACCACTCGGGTGTGTGGACCAAAGTTCATTTCCTCCCTCTCCTCTGATCGGTCCCGCCGATCTGAATCACCTTTGTGCTGCCAGGTCCGTCGCTGTAGTCGTCACCTAAGCCCGACACGAACACGGGAGAGACGTGTACATGGGAGTACCTCGTGTAATAGACGGTTCCCGCCCACTAGTACGTCGCAGTCAATCAGCTGGTGCACGCTGGTCCGCGTCGGGGATCATCGAGTGCAAAGCCGATGACATCTGACTGGCTCGAGAGGCACTCTCCAAGCGCGCGTCTAAAAATACCCCAGATAGTTGCAGCGCCCGGCAGAGTAGCATCATCCATCATTGCGCTGCTGCGGGATGATGGGCCTGCTAGTACAATTTTGATATCCCATTTGGCAATTCCGGTAAGAGTTGCAGCGGTGGATGACCGTTTGCAGACAGACAGCTGTGGGAGTGAGCATCTTGGAGGCAGAACTTTGGCGATAAGCGTTATCTAATCAGTTTGACCCACCTCGGCCTCGTTATCAAAACTTTTTTTTCCCACGACGAATGACTACTAGATCAGAGAGTTTGGTTTCATTGGGATTAAGCCTAGGATCAAGCTTACGACCGATATTCTTAATTCGGTTCTTTTCATCTAATGCCTTCGATTGGAGCTACAGAAGTTCCGTCAGACTCCTCATCGTCTGGGGAGTCTGATTACCTTGACAATGCCGATTCTCGAAAACGGCGTCGAACAATCGACGACGAGCCCACTGAGGCCGCTTTCGACGACGACGACGACGATGACGATGAAGAGCTGACGAAGGTTCTTTCCACAATTAAGGCACCATCGCGGGTAAAATCATCTGCAAAAGCTACCCTATCGAACTCAAAGGAATCAAAACTGTCGCAGCCTCAACCGCAACACCAACAGCCCATTCTCGCACCAACCGATCCCAATGTCACATTCTCCGCCATCCAGGTCAAGCCTTGGCTTGTGCAGTCGCTCCAGAATATGGCAATTAAACGGCCGACTGGAATTCAGAAGGGCTGCATCCCGGAAATCTTGAAAGGCAGGGATTGCATTGGAGGCAGCCGAACAGGTTCCGGAAAGACTGTTGCCTTTGCCGTGCCGATTCTGCAGAAGTGGGCAGAGGATCCTACGGCTATTTATGCCGTTGTCCTGACGCCTACGCGAGAGCTCGCGCTCCAGATCTACGAACAGTTCAAGGCCATCTCTGCACCCCAAAGTCTCAAGGCCATCCTGGTGACCGGTGGAGCAGATATGCGAGCGCAGGCCATTGCCCTCGGCCAGAGGCCGCACATCGTCATTGCCACCCCCGGTCGACTGGCTGATCACATTCGAACATCGGGCGAAGACACAATATGTGGACTTAGGAGGGTTCGCTATGTCGTGTTGGACGAGGCCGATAGACTGCTCCATGCAGTCGGGCCAGGAAGCATGTTGCCAGACGTGGAAGAGTGCCTGTCAGTTCTCCCCCCGGCCACCGAGAGACAGACGCTTCTATTCACTGCCACCATCACACCGGAAGTGAGAGCGCTCAAGGACATGCCGCAGAAGCCAGGCAAGCAGCCCGTGTTTGTCTGCGAGGTGGACACCCAGATGCTTGCTATCCCTGCTACGCTCAAGCAGATGCACGTCCAGATCCCAGTTACACATAAGGAACACTATCTTCACGTCTTTCTGCTCACCGAAGCTAACGCTGAGAAGACGGTCATTATCTTCTGCAACCGAACATCCACCGCCGACTATCTACACCACCTTTTGCGGCTGCTTGAGCACCGCGTCACCTCGCTCCACTCAAAGCTTCCCCAGCGTCAGCGTATCGACAACCTGGCTCGATTCCGGGCCTCGGCGGCTCGGATCCTGGTCGCCACGGATGTGGCGGCTCGTGGTCTGGATATCCCCGAGGTCAGTCTTGTGATCAACTACGACATCCCGCGAGACCCAGATGATTACATCCACCGTGTGGGTCGTACCGCCCGTGCTGGCCGGAAGGGTGAGGCGGTCACATTTGTGGGCCAGCGGGACGTGGAGCTCGTCCTCGCCATTGAGAAGAGAGTTGGGAGGGACATGGATGCCTGGAGCGAGGAGGGAGTCAACCTGGAGACCCGCGTGCTCCGGGACGCCCTCAAGGTGGTGAGCGAGACGAAGAGAGAGGCCCTTCTGGAGATCGAGGAGGGGAGGGAGGTCGGCGGCAAGCGGAAGCGATTGAAGCTCAAGTTTCGAGCAAACTAGTTCGAGTCTATTCGCATCTATGTAACTTGGCATACAGCTCAATGAACCATTGATACCCCCTATTTGATTGACTTTGTCCTGACAGATTAATTACTACGAGTATTGTATCCTAAGGAAGCAAAATCCAATGAAATGGGAGCATATTATGAGATCCTGGATCGGTACTGCTACGATATGGAGTCATGCACTTCACAGTAGCTTGTATTTTGTATGAGAAGCGTGTCCCTAATTTCTCGATCAACAGAAGCAGAGGGACAGGTGGATGGGCTGGTGGGGGATGAGAATTTCGTTGGATTTCAATACGTCCTTTTCCTCATTTGGTTGATCTCCTCCACACACGCCTGTCCAAAGCCTGGTGGCAAATGGAAAGAATGTGAAACAGTAATGAGATAGGTCACATTGTGGCTTATAGCTGAACAGAAGAAAAGTGTTGTTATGCAACTTAGACGGCTGGAGTCTAGTCCTGATGAGTGGCTGAATAGTTTCGCCCCAACCAGCCAAACCGCCGCTGATCATTATCGGCGGATTTCCTGGCAAAAGTCAACGAAGTTGAGGCTGGGGCGCGAACGTTCTATGAAGCTTTCGGGATGGCTCTAGATTTTTTAATCATTCTTTCTTGAAACATCACAGCTGTGTCAAAGGTGGTCAACTCGCATTTGGCTCTGAAGATCTTCCTTCTAGCTGGTTAGTTTAACTCAGGCTTTTCTTTTCTCAGCCCTGCATTTCAGCTGGCAGGGACCTAAACTCTATTGGCGTAGCTATTTGCTTAGGAGACGGCTAGCGATCTAACCGCAATACGTATTTGTGCAACCAAGTAGTACGCCTCTCTGAGCTGAGAGACGTGAGTGGTCAACCGCAGTGGTGGACTATCAGATCAGTGAGCCTATGTCTCAAAATAGAGCAAGTAATTTCATTTCACGGATCACTTGCACGGTTCTTTTGTAAACATACAACACAATATTGCCCCGTTCACCCCCGCCATTTGATTAGATACATTGGCTGTAGATCTGGGAAAAGCCTTGTTCGATGGCTGGGGCTAGACCGCGCGCTATTCGGAAACTAATGTCGCCAAGTTCACCATTGCGTAGCTGAACATCTTACAAACCAAAACAGCTAGGAAAGTCTCACCTTTTCCAATCGCCACACAGCGATGGATTTGAGCATACCATATGTCGGAGGAGGAGTACTCGTCTCGTTGCCCCTTGTAGAGCTCCTAAACTAGTACGCCACACCAGAACTAGGGGCGGCTGGCCTCTTGTCTTCACCTATCCGGTTGTTGGGCTGGCGCACACACCAGTAGGGTCATATCCTAAGACCAAGGATAGATGTAGTTCAGCTTTTGCTAGCTAATATATAAGAACAGGGGATTTGCTCCCCAGTCCCTGGCCTAGACCAACGCACCTCTTCATTACGTCCTGCGGCTACATAGCTTTGCTTTCTATAGGTAGAAGGCAGACATCCATCAAAGATGGCAGGCGCACCTCCTCAGATGGTGTCTAAGAGACTGATCCTCTGCTGTGACGGCACTTGGATGAACAGCGATAATGGGTACGAGGAGCCTGGTTGGTTTGAATCCAAGGGCACGTTGCAAGTGCCCTCCAATGTGACCCGCATCTCGAGGTGCTTCAAGAGACGTTGCAGTGATGGCAAGCTCCAAGTCATCAGCTATGAATCCGGTGTTGGCACTGGCAGCAATGGCGTGGATAGCTTGATGGGAGGAGCTTTCGGGCTCGGACTCTCGGAAGTAAGTTTCTCTCAACCTTGACGTGTACATTGGGTTTCCGTTCAACTAACGTATGCTGTCTGCTTGATAGCGAGTGCGTGAAACGTACTCGTACCTCTGCTCTAACTACATGGACGGCGATGAGATCGTCCTGATCGGGTACTCTCGTGGTGCCTTCACCGCCCGCTCTGTTGCTGGTATGGTCGGCAACATAGGTCTACTCACCCGTGAAGGTGTCGAGTTCTTCTACTGCATTTTCAAGGACATGCAGAACTGGCAGAATCCTGATTATAAGGACCCGTTCCCCGATCAGCCCTTTTCCAAGAAGCCCAAGGGACCGCATGCTGCAGCCGAGTATCGTGCAAGGCTCGAGGAAATGGGCTTCACGAGGGTTAAACAGGCCAATGGCGACTTGATCAAGATCAAAGCCATTGGCGTCTGGGACACGGTCGGTAGCCTCGGTATCCCGGATGTTTCTTGGCTCAGCAAACTGGGTATTCGTGCTGCAAACAAGGAATAAGTCTCCCCTTTCCTTACTCAATCCAATGACTGAGACGGCAATGCTAACCTTCCCAGCACATATATGTGGCATGACACCTCTCTCTCGGACCGCATTGAGAATGCCTTCCAGGCACTTGCCCTCGACGAGACTCGCCCTCCATTCAGTCCGGCAGTCTGGGAAAGGCCCGGGAAAGATCAACAGACAAACTTGAAACAAGTCTGGTTCCCAGGCAATCATGCCAACGTTGGTGGTGGATGGGAAGACCAAGGCGCGGCAAATTGCACTCTAGCGTGTAAGTTCTATCCGTAATTGAAGATTCTGAGATTTGGGTGCTAACGCGTCAACTCCAGGGATGATGGATCAGCTCGCCTCGGTTGGTGTCGAATTTGACGAAAACAGCATAGATCGGTATTTCAAACAAACTTCTCTATACTACCAGACACTCGGGGCCAGGGAGCAGAGTGATCGAGCCAAGGCCGGCTTGAAATGGGCAGTAGACCCAATCTATGACACAAACTCACCTCTGCGTCCTTGGGGTCTGGGACAAATCTGCAAAAAGGTCAGCCTGCTCTATTGGTTCTCCGGACAGATCACAAGGTCACCGGGGTTGTACCATGAGCATGACCCCGAGACAGAAGAACGGAAAGCCAGGTTTCTTCAAGATACCAATGAGCGCATCCATAGCTCAGTGCGCATTCGGCTCGCCTGCAAGGGCCTTGATCTTAACGACAAGGCCGTGTGGGCTTGTCCAGCCCTTGGCAAGTGGCGCCTCAAGCAGGGCAAGCCTGACTCAAATGCTGTAAGCAAACAAACACAGTGGGTTTGGGAGTTTTCTGGTGGCGAGAAGGAGGCAAATCCTGATAAGAACCAACGCGTCATGAGAGAAGAGCCTCTGGGGCCATACGAACAACGGCTTTTGGAGCTTGCTGCCGGAAAACCCAATGTTTGGGAATTCGCCGAGAAGAATGCTGGAATTCAATGATAGTCTCAGTTAACTGGAGAGACGATTTAATGTGCTAATAGGTTGAAACAAAGTCGTAAGAATTGATATGTTAGTCGCCCGAGATTGCTGAGCTTTTATGTCGAATGTTTTTTTTTTTTTTTTTGGTGAAAAAGGGTGTATGTGCTAGAAGGTTTGCGAATTCCTCAGCCGGATTGTTAAGAGGAAGCATATGAGATAATATTGAAATGCAAAGTTAATTGATACTGGTATTGTATCTGCATGGTTTCAATTTGGTTGGGTTGGCTTAGGGGGATCACGTGCTATTTCCGGCGGGTAATAGTGGAAATTGAAGCTCACTGCCTGCAGACTACTACCTACCAGAGGCAAGAACGACCAGACTTGATTCAAACAAAAAAAAAATATCAACCACACCACGCAAACCTGCTTTTTTACAACCGTTACATGCGAAAGAATAGCTGAGACTGGGAGTGTTCCTAATTCTGACCATCGTTGTGCCAAAGACGAGAACTTTTCGGCAACGACACACTAGCCACCATCATGAGCGAGAGCAACCCAGACCTCCCGCGTTTCGCGGCTGAGTACGCAGAGAAAGAAATCGATTTATTTGATTTACTTGGTGTAGATGCCCTCGCATCAAAAAAGGACATCCACCGTACCTGGAGAAAACGCACTCTCAAACTGCATCCCGACCAGGCTAAAGATAACTTCGATGCCGAAAAATGGGAGCTCTTTGAGCGGGCTCGTGACGTTTTGTCCGACGCCAACGCCCGTGCTATCTATGAGAGCTCCATGAAGGCCAAGCTTCTCCGGAAGCAGGAGCGCGATGCCATGGACCAGGAGCGAAAGAAGTTCGCTGATGAGCTGGAAGCGGCAGAGAACGCGCACCGCATGAAGCAGCAGGCCCAGGACCAGCAAGATCGCGAGACTCTTCAGAAAGAAAGGGAGAGGCTTGCGGAGGCGCAGCGTATGCGTGATGAAGAGCGGAAACGGCAGGCTGAGGCTGAGCAGACGATGGATGATTTGGCTGAAGCGAAGAGGAGGATCAAAGAGAGGAAAGAGGAGAGAGCAAGAAAGAAGCAAGCCAAAGAGTCCATGAAGGCGTCTGGCCAGCCAAAGGGCCCGGCAAATGGGGTTGTCCTTGTACCGGGCGATTATGTGGTTGAAACTGGGACGACCACAAAGCAGTACTGGGAGCTCGTCTGTGACAAACTTCGAGCTGTCCAGGCAGTGAAGAACATCAACCAAGAAGATGCGGGCTCAGAACAGTTCAGAAAGGCTGAGCTGCAGGTACAGGAGATACGGCGGCAAATTGCCGAGGCGGAGACGAAATATCGACAGGAAGCGACAGCTGTGAAATGATTTCCCTGCTTGCGCGTTTTGCAAACTTAAACGAATACCACAGCATGGCTATATCACCATCCTGCCAAAACCATTCAGAATCAATGTCCTCCTCTTCAGGGCTTGGCGGTTGGTTGAGCTTCATTTACATCAGCGTCAAGCCTTGGATGATAAGGCGACAAAAAGTATACAGCCCCGGATTGTACCTCTATTTTTCAGCGAAATAGGTCGCATGGACCCGTTCTTACTCAAATGAACAATGCATTCCAGCAATGGAGGTTCATCTAAATGGGGAGAAAGAAGGCAGAATGAGCAAAGCTCCACGAGTGCTCAGCAGGACATACAGTACGGTTGTTTCTTACCAAGCCCGCTTTCAATCGTCTTGCTAATAACACCCTCAGGGATGTTGGATAGTCCTGCTTCAAACCAAATAAAATTATCAATCCACCACCGAGACCGTGCCTATTGATGCAGCTACAAATGGTTGCGAGATTCTTGATGACATGATATGCCGACCTGTCTAGTGTTCTAAAACCCGAAGTCCTCAAACGGATATAAAACGTTGGGGATGGTCATTTGGGAAAGAAATGCGACAGTACGAATGACCTGACTAGCAAATTACACTGGGGCAGCTGAATGGGGATGAGGGGTTACTTGTGTACCGTGATCACATGGAGCATTACCATTCAGAAGCGTCAACTTGCATGGGCTAGCACATATGGTAGTGTAGCTTAGGTGTGGATGAGCGACTATGGGGGAGAGCATGGATGTTAAGCCCATCACCATCATCGGATGGCCAAAGCCAGCGTCTTTGGAGCTTTCTACCATCGCATATGCCCGGAAGCATCGAGCGATTGCGGATTGGTACATAGCACCAGTGCATCATACGATATCTGTATATAGCATGGCCTCCGACACAGGGCCGTCGCCCCCGACACAGCCGAGGGCAGACGGGAGCATTCATGCTTCAATCAACCTCCAGATAGATGACTTCTTCGTTCGAAATGAATTTGACCCTCAAACACGAATCGCATGCGACAGCTTTGCTGCTTCAGTCTCATGTGGTCGGAAGTGCATCCCGGCGCAACATCAGGGCTATTGTTCATATACCGTTTTCCTGCCAACTCGTCATATTCTCCAATTCCGACCAGTCCAGTTCAAACTGGATATGCAAGTCTGCTGTGAGGCTAGAAAAATATATGGCGCCCTGGTTCCAACAACCTCCTATATGGGGACTGTTAATGCGCAAGCGCTGGGAGGGTCAACCATTCGAGGAGCGCTACACGTATACCTCCAAGACGTAATCCCAGGAATCAGTTTGGAAGCGTTGCGCCACATGCCATGCTTCTCACCTAAGCACCGAAGAAACCTTATCGAGGACCTTGCCGATATATTCGCAACTGGCTTCCATCACGGGAAGCCCCCGAAACCAGCAACTAATGGTAGCCAAAGTGTTTTCAGTAGAGGAATGGTTGGTAGTTCATTGGCTGAGCGCCTATCTCTCCTACAAGCGCTCCATGGGCCGGAGTCAAAGTATGTGGAACAAGTCCAACAACAAGCTGAAGTGATAGAATCGAAAATGCCCTGGTGTTTCACACATGGAGACTTGGTGCCTGCAAACATCATGGTGAACCCTGACACTGGCCATCTCACTGGCCTCATTGACTGGGCAGAAGGTGAATGGCTTCCTCTGGGCACGAGTTTGTACGGCCTTGAAGAGGTGCTCGGGCAGGTCTCAGCAGATGGAAAGACTTTCGAGTACTATGAAGATCATTTGTGTCTACGAGCGAGGTTCTGGAACAGATTCGCAGTCCTCGCAGCCTCCTCTCCTCCTATTTTCCAGCCCCGAAGTTTCATGGAACATGTACGGACGGGCCGCACCCTCGGCATACTTTTGTGGCGGGGGATTGCTTTTGATGATGGGAAAATTGACCGTGTTGTAAGTGAAGATAGGGACGAGCTCGAGATATTCAAATTACGACTGTTTCTGGAAGCACCAACTCCTCCAGAGTTTAACTGGAGACACAGAGCCTGGCTATCATGCATCTGGGTGCTGCGTTTCGTATTCTATCGGCCTCCTTCCGCTAAAAGCCTGGCCGTCGAGGACAAGGTCGCCAAGGACAAGATCACCGAAGTTGATATCGAGTATGGAGGTAAATGTGTAGCTGATTGACGAGCGTTTCTTTTCCCTCTGATTTTCTATTTTAATCTTATTTTTCCTTGTTTGATTTGATCGATTGTTTCGGCTTTTCTGAAAGGATCAGTGTTTTCTTGGATACCTATACGTACTGAGCGATGTTTCCGGTTCGTCTTAATAGACATTGCAAGATGCAAAGACGTCTATCTAATTCACAGTCTCCTCGTTTTCTTTCTTCAGGCATATTGAATCCATTTTATAACACAAGACGGAATCATCCTTTGAGGTATTTCCCCCAAGGTTTGAGATAGGATGACTCCGCAAGATACAACATCATATTCACGTCCGCGTCTTTTGCCATTGCAAGAATTGATATGGACACCATCTGAAACTCATGGCTAAGCTGAGAAAACCGTAGAGACACTCTTCATTGTTTATCCGGTCACTATCATCTGCTCCACGAATAGACCTCTTTCGTAACCAAAATCGAGGCCTCAGTTCCTGTTTCCTTTTCCTCGGTGGCCTCCTTCGCTGATCCGTCTGTCACTTCTGACTCTCTTTTGGCAATTGTGCAAATCGCCAGTACCATCTCCCTCCTTGCAAGAACTCCATTTCTGCGTCTTGCACTTCTCCCCCGGCCGGCAGATGGTTTCACTCATGCTCTCGGAGATTTGCATTCTGGAATGACCATTGCTCCTGCTTATCACGCTCTTCCTCCTTCTTCTTCTCCCTCCTTGATGTCGTGATTGCTCTTCTAGAGCGTTTCTCTCAGTGAAAGCAAAGTCAACGATATCGCCATCAAGCCCACGCTGTTGTAGGCTGCCTGTTACGGAGTCAGGCTCTCCGCGAGCCTCATGAAGATGAGCAAGACTGTCAGAGTTGATTTCACTTCTTCTATCGAGGTCATGAGTTGCCGCAGATTTAGCTACGACAAAGTGCTCGGAAATCAGAAGCATGAGGCTTGCAGCGATGGGTAGCTGTTTGGTGAAAATCATTTTGAGAAATCGTACAAGGTAATATATATATACATAGGGAATGTTGTGACCAACTAGATGAAAAAGATAGAGAGAAGCGAGACGGGAGAAATGTCAAATGGTGTTATATGAACAAGTAATGCAGATCGGGTGATCTATGATCCAAATTTAGGAGCTTGGGAGCTTACTCAAACTGCGACCAGACGTATGACGTGCGTGATGCTTCATGATCCCTGTTCCACCAGCGGGAGGATAAGCATTTTCCCAGCCAAAGTTCAGATCTGTGCCTTATTGATCAACAAAGGATTGCAACCAGTATCGTTGAGCACTGTGTGGCAGCTCATACTAATGCTCATCTCAGCGAACAGATGCTCAGCCTTTGACATTGCAAATGGAACATCTCTCCTTTCAGCTGGGATCAAATGGGATAAATTATCATCAATTCATGGCTCAAAATTGCCAAGATTAATATGATAGAGAACAGTGATGAAAAACCGTCGCGAATCCCGGTGAGGAATTGGAGCACGGGTGTTACTGGATGCGGCAGGAGGGGCGAGCTCTAGGTTAGCTGGATATATTTGGATAGACCCAACAACCACCAACAGACCCTCAACACATTTCCTTTCGTCGTATTGTAATAGATTGACCTTTTGTCGCTCACTACCCCCTCCTTCCTCTGCGAAATCCAAGCAGCCAACCTCCTTGCCATCACACCTGCCGCCCAGTTCGAGAAACACGCCCAATTGGCGTCGTCCGCAGCAATGGCACCCCCCAAGCAGCAGTCCAAGCCCGAGACCGCCAAGGTCAACGAGTCCCCGATCAAGAACGCCTACCTCCTCTTCTACAACGCCATATCCGCCGTGGCATGGGGCATCGTCCTCGCTCGCACCGTCTCACTCGCCGGCCTCGAGGGCCCCGAGGCCGTCTTCCCCGCCATCGGCAACCGCACGAAATGGACACAGACCGCCGCCGGTCTCGAGATCCTGCACTCGCTGCTGGGAGTCGTCCGCGCCCCCGTCTTCACCACGGTCATGCAGGTCGCCTCGCGCTTCCTCCTCGTCTGGGGCGTCGTCCACCCGTTCCCGCAGCTCGCCGTCCAGTCGCCCTTCTACGTCTCCATGCTCCTCGCCTGGTCCCTCACCGAGGTCATCCGCTACAGCTTCTTCGCCGTGGGGCTGCGCTTCGGACAGCAGCCCGCATTCCTCACCTGGCTACGATACAATACCTTCTTCGTGCTCTACCCGATCGGGATCACCAGCGAGTGCGTGCTCATCTACCTGGCCACCGGCCCCGCGGCTGAGCAATACGGCGATGTGTTCAAGTACGGCTTGTACGCCATCTTGGCTACCTATGTCCCTGGTAAGCTTCCTCTCCCCCTAGGGCTACACTCTCCTGGAGGTGTCTCCTCTAGACTAGAAACTATCCTTATAGTGAGCTTCTCTGACCAATTGATAGGTGCCTACATTCTGTACACCTACATGATGAAGCAGCGCAAGAAGGTTATGCGTAACCTCAAGGCCAAAAACGAAAAGGCTTCTCAGTAAGAAGCAAACAAGGTTCCAGTGGTTCTCCAGAAAAAGGATGTTGGTCCTGGTGGAAAACTCAACCGGGAGATGGAATCGTGTACCAAATACGAAAAAGGGGGAAGTCTGCTACGGATATTGTATAGGATACATCATGATAACATGCATTATATGGGACGGGGTCTGTTGGTTAAAATAAAGTAATAGAGCAAAGTCTCTACTGATTCGTAACACTACCTAGCCTTGAGTCCCTTGAGTCGTTCCATCTTCTAGCTAATCCGAATTGTCCATGCATACCTTGTTCCATAACGCCGTAACTCCAGTTTGCAACACTTCCAATGACGACATGAACACCGCGAGCTAAGATTCCGCGGACGGAGCCTGCTCAAGCAAAGGCTTGGGTTCTTCGCTCGTCTCATACCATTCTTTAGACACCCACTCTGCGATCAGCGTCTTAGCAGTCTCGGACAACGTCTCGTATTCAGGGTTCTCTTTGGGCTCAAACATGGCTAAAACGGAGAATAGAGTCAGTCATCAAACATTCAAAAATACAACAACTTCCTGTCCCGAAGAACAACCTCTCAAAAATAGCAGGGGTACTCACTCATATGCGCAACAGTCTCATCCGTAGCTTTATCATTCACCGCCTCCTTCCAAACACCCGCGGCCTGCGACCTGGGCAGGTTGCAGAACGTCCTCTCGCTCCCCAGCACCGTGCCCACCATGCTGACGTTCTTGCTCGAGGCCGCCCTCCCCAGCCGCGTGTACAGGTTGGCGAACCCGACGCGCAGCTCCTCGTTGAGCCGGACCATGTAGCTCACCCGCTTCTTGAGCTCCTCGGCCCGCGCGAGGCACCCCACGAACTCGAGGTGCGAGCTCACCCACGTCCAGCCCTCGCCGATGTGGTCGCGGTTCATCCACGCCGCCGCGCCCCCGGCAGCCACTGCCCCCGCTGCACCGGCGACCATGGCCACTTTACCCCAGGTGCCCCAACCACCAGTAGACTTGTTGCTACTGGGAGCTGGGGGAAGAGCCCCAGCTGAGGGCGGCGCCCTGGTGGTGGCAGTCGCGGCCTTGTTGGCCCCCCACAGCGAGGCGCCGAGGCCGCTGAGCTGGGAGATGGCCGAGGCGGCGTTCTGGTAGTGGCCCTCGGCGCCGTGGGCCACGACGCCGGGGGCTATGCCGAGGTACGGGGTGTCGAAGGCCAGCACGCCCTGGATGTAGGGGAACAGGAGGGAGTTGAAGGACGAGGGGATCGCGGCGCTCTTCTGGATGCCGTCCTCGGAGTAGATGGGCTGCTCGGACGCGATGGCGATGACCATCTCCGCCGCGACGATGCCACCCATGGAGTGGCCGATGAGGATGGTCCTCACCGAGGGGTCGATGGTGGGCGAGGGTGTGCCCGTCGCCACCTCTAGGTCGATGACCTTTTCCTCTAACCTGGTTAAACGATCAGATTAGTATAATGAATAGAAAAAGAAGGTCAGGAAGAAGTGCGCTCAGTATCCAGAGCAGGCATACCAGCTGCGAAAACGGCTGACGGTCTCGCCGAGGTCGCCCCTCGTCTCATACTTGGGGTATACAAGAGTCTTGACATTGATTTTGGGTAGCTCAGCTGCGACGAGATCGCGCAAGTGCTCTGCGAACTGATAGTCGTCTCCAAAGGTTGATTCTCCCCCCTTGATAAGCCAGCTGTCAGTGCTGTCTTACAAATATATGCCAGGCCTTGGTTGGCGTCACCGGATGACATACCTTGAATCCATGAATGAAACACAGGATGAGTGTCTTCTTCATGGTGACGAAGCAAATTATAGAATTCTAGGGTTATTTGCACATCCACAGATAGGTTTAGAGTCGCAAATCCGCCTGCTCGGGTACGGAATGATAGATGCTGATGATGATTGATGGTTGTTGTATGCGAGGCTACCTATCGAACACAGCATGTGCATTAAAGTGGAGGGAGCCCCCACCTAAGCTTGAAGTCACTCACTGCAGCTGACAAGCAACAAGTACATACAATCCACCTATACATAACAATCTCACTAAGATAGAAAGCAAACTCAAGAATAGACGTCGATTTCTATCGATTAAAATACACTTCCTTACGGTTCTTATCTAAACATATAGGGTGATGAGGCCTCTTCCCTGCAAGGGGTGTGTTGATCTGCTTGCTTTCCACGGCCTCTCAGCATTTGGCTCATTCATACTTTGCCCCTCCTCCTGAGCTCAAATCAACCTGCTTGTTTGTAGTTATGGTATTGTTCCCCATGTGACCCATTTCCTTCGCCGTACGACATTTATAAATTCCCAAACCGCCCAACGCCAAATATTGTTTTGAAAGAAAAAAAAAGCAAGGGAACAATAAATAAGAAGAAAGGAAAAGTGAGAACTCAAGGTCATCAAACAAGAATCACCTCGCCAAGGAAAGGGAGGTGCACTTTTCCCATCCGCCTCACGAAACGTCTATTGCCCAGGAAAGCAGCACGATCCCCAAATTAAACAGTCACATGTTGCCTGTATATACCAGATTTTTGTCTTC